TTTTCAGGTTCCTGGGTGTCACGTTTTTCCAGCTTCTGTTTGTAGCAGGAGGATATATCTTTCACTTTTTGAATTTGACAGAAGATGATTTAAGTCCTTAAACCTTGGAGAATGAGTTTGAAAGGGTCATCAGACACCACAAGATAATTTCATAAACACTGGCAAGGCTATCACTGGGTGAACATAACTCACCTTTCACAGGTTGGAGATAACTCATGGGGTTTTTTAACTGATATAAAGTGCTCAATAGCACTATGAACATTAGTATTCATTTGTATTTCAAGTATGTTTCACTTTATCCAATATGACCGTCTTAGAGGGAGTTTTCACACATAGCCATCCCAAATTCCTGCTTTTTGTTATCAGTGAGGGAAAAGCATATGAAGTGCCTGGGAAAGACTGTCTCTAACAGACAGTCCAGAAACTTTCATCCTTGCAAATGCTCTTAATTGCTAGAGGCCAAAGGGCCCTCCCTGCTCATTATATTTATGGCCTGCAAGGATATCTGTGGGATATCTGGTGCACCTGGAGTTACCCAGCTTTATGGCCATAAAGGAGGTCATAAAGCTGTGCACCAACAACAAAATAAAATCAAAACACTCAGGATAAAAGCTGTATTCTGTTATTGAGAAGGACAACCATTAGCTGTCCTTTTTGTCAAGTGCAGTGAGGTGCAAGTGGTGAAAAGGACACTCTGCTGACACTACAATGATGTGTCATTTTTGTCACTGAGACAGGGAAAGGTTGTGACTATGACTGCACAGTTTGCTCCTTTTTCCCAAGAACAGAGCTCATGCTGAAGTGGGAAGGTGGAAATGTACCAAAAGGAGTAGTTTTTAAAATATAACATTGATTCAAACCTTTTCCAGAAGTCTGGAAACCAGTGAAACTGGTTTTGAGTCTGGCCTATTCAGGTTCTCATATTGTTTTTATCACTAACTACAGAGATGCCCTTTGGTAATACATTATTCACTGTGTGACAACTCTGCCAGACATCAGCTGTTACCTCACTAAATTCTTTTTCAGCTCACAGAAGTGAAACAATTTTGCTTGCAAGGATACTGGACAATAACAAGGCTGAGTTTGAAAAGAAACATATAAAATGTGTATTGTTTTCCCCAAATTTCCTGTAGTTGTCTGGAGATAGCAATGCAAGGACAATGCTGTGCATTCTGCCCTACCTGAAACTCCTTTCAGAACTGTTACCTCCTGGGATGTCATCTGCTCTGCACACTTTGATCCAACCACTTCTGTTTAAATAGATCAAACCTTTTTGTAAAAACTAACTCAGTACATCACCCCAGGAAGTGAGCCGTGGATATTGTCTTCACACCACAGTCCCTCCACAAGAACCACTTAAGACAGGCTTTTTTGGTGGAAAATCAACTTCAGTCTCCATGGCTGCAAGTGGGTAGGGGAAGAAACACTCCAAGTGTGGGAGTTTATGAGGAGGTAACCGTCCAGGACTGGCTGGCTCTGAACAGAACTGGGGTTTCAAGGGTTCCCTACATTAACTGTAGGGAAGAAAATAAGACACGGATGTTAGAAATGCTCATAGGCATCGAGACAAATTTTAAAGGAGGAAAAGACGATGGTTTGTAGCAGTTACTGATGCACACGGACTGTGCTTTAGATATTGAGCAGTAGGTGGCACTGGTGGCATTAACATGAGTCCTCCAGTGCTCGCGTAGTTTTGTCATTGCAGAGTTTAGGGAAAATCAGGGAGGTGTTCAAAAATCCTCTAGGGACAGCCCTAATTGCCTGCCTGACCTCAGCAAGTTCAGATCAGCCCAGCTGGGAAGTAGTGGCCTTTGCTCCTTCTTTGTGCAAGGCCAAAAAATGCTCCAAATCTCACACGAGTGCAGAATTGTTCCTTTCATTTAGAAGACAGTTGTACAGTGACCCTGGGAAGTGGCCAGGAGAGAGAGGGGGTTCAGAACCATCTGAAGTTTTGGGGAGTGATGTGACACAGAGGACTTTCCTCAGAGACACCTGGCATGTTTTGTCCAAAATAAACAGGCAGGACACACCACCCTAAAGCTCTCCATCTCAGCTGGTGTGAGGCTGGTGTTCCCAGCTCTGAGAGCATTGGGGCCTCTGCTGCTTCATCCTCAGAGCAAGAATGAGAGTTACCAACCCTGCAGACACCAGCTCACCACGGACAAGTTTAATGTTAATCCTATTGGACTTGGCCTTGGAAAATTATGCTAGACTAGCATTTTCATTGCTCTCCAGCTGTGTTTTCTTTTTAACACTATTTCACTGTTTAAACCTGCCTTCAGTTCCCTGCCCCAGTTTTATGCTTTGACTACTAAAAAAGCAGCTGATTTAACACTAAAAGTCAGTAAAATCCCTTGTGTCTCTCTTGTCTGTCAGTACCTGCTTGTCTGATATTTGCAGGGTAGTCTGACTGACCTTCTGTTCTGTATCTAATTACCTGGAAATGCAAGGGGGCCCAGGTCCTTACAGCAATTAAAATAACATTACTGATCTTACCTTGTGTGAGTGGAGCAAGTTGTCCTCTGCTTTCTGAAGTGCTGCTTCTTACTGCTCTGTCCAACAGCATCACAATGTTTTCTGGTAGACGAAGGAGTGACAAAGGTACCTCTTGACACACAGGAACGTGGCTAAAAACCTGTATTGCCTTTCATAGGATAACAAGAATAAAGTTCATGTATCAGTGGCCTGGACAAAGCAAAACATGAGTCTATTATGTTCCAATGAAAACCCACAAGTATCTTTTTAAGTACTATGACAATATAGTTATTAAGGAATTAAAACTATATTATGGATATTATTGATTGACTCCAGGGAATAGGTTGGTGTTGTATCAGCATAGACAGGGAAGCTGTTTGTTCTACAGCCAGGCAACTGTAATGAAGATATAAGATTGTGTGAGAAGATTCCCAGCAAAAAAAAAAATAATTGCAATATAATTCATGTACTTGCATAGGGCTTACAAACATCAGTGAATGCAAATAAACAGCCTGAAGAGCCTATTTATAAAATCTCAAAATCCCCTACCTGAGATACTCATTCCTATTTAACAACTTTGAACTAATCCCCCATAACATCCACAAGGCCACTTCATTGCTGATGACGTTTTTTAGAATTTTCTTTCATGATGGAAAAAAAGAGTAGAAAGAGAAAAGAAGTAGCAGCACAGTGAGGTTGCTGATGTGCTAAGAAAAGTGCTCACCACACAAACCACTGTTCTTCCCTTATCCCTTCATCTGTATCCACTCCCTCTTTTAACAGACCATTAGCGCTCTGGTTGCTTAAAGTCCAGGCACAAAAGATCTTGTACTGTTCAGTCTGTGACCACTAACAAAATAAAAACCCTCAAAAGTGGCTTTGGAGGGGATTGAAGGAGCAGCTGACAAACACTAGGTGACAGCAGCTTCCCAGCTCACACACTGCTGCCTTTCAAAATGCACCAACCTACCTGGGGGCTGTTTGCTGACCACAGAACGAGGTATGACCCTGCACTTTAATGGGGGAGGGTGCAATCAGTGAGAAACCTGTCTTACTGCAGCCCAGTGATCTTCAGAAATCAAAATTCACCACCAGAAGGGGAAAGGCCCCACTCCCTGTCCTCCAAAGCAACCAATGCCTCTTCATGCACATCACTCTCCGGAATCCTGCAAGATAATGTCCCACAACATAGCTTTGAATTCCCTCATTAACTGAGAACAGCATAAGAACAAAGCCAGGAAGGAACTGTACAAGGTTCCTGTACTAAATGTGCTCAGGTGAATATTCCTAATGGGTGTGTCCTGCAAAGAGCAGCATTTTATGCCATTTACCTCATAACAGCTGATCATGAACAGTTCTCAGCAGGAACTATAAGATAATCTCTCCAGGGGTGGAGAGCCAGGATCTCCACACCAAGTTATGAAAGGAGAGACTACAATTTTCAATCTCTTATTGGCAAAGAATTCTGCTATTTAGCCTGTCACTGAGAATCAAACATCTCCTAAGGCCTCCCTGGGATACCCTTTGTAAGTAATGCTGTCAGCAACATCCCGTGCATGGTATTTCAGTACCTACATGATACTTTACATACTTACTAAATCACAGAAGTTATCTTGCAATAGAACAAAACTTGTGTGACCTCTCCATTTCAAAGGAATGACAAAAATTAGGCTACTTGCTTATAAAGCTGTTTTAGTCCACTATGCAAAGCATTTTAATGGAGATAGGAAAGTCCTTTAAATTGCTCCATCTTAGTCTCGGACCATTTGTTATGAAAAAAAATCTTACAGGTCCCTGAATTATGATTTAAGATAGATTTAATACTGTTTGTCCCCTGGACATCTAGAGTGATCAGTTCTAGGCATGCCAAGAAAATACAGGCTATTCTATGGTTAATGTCCATAATTGTGATTAAGAAATAATCTTTGGGCTTTATTTTTTTTTACAACTGTTCTCCATGTATATGAGCACTTCAAAAAATCATGCTGAAATTTAGAGATTGAAGACCCAACTTGAATTGTTTAATAAACAGGACTATCACCATGGACTGCAGCCTAATGCTAAAAAACCTCCTTGAATTTTGGTTATCAAATACAAAATAATCCTGTTTTTCCACTTTATAGAAACTAGGCATCATTAACAGGCAAAGAATTTAACCCAGGAGAGAGAAGTATCTACAAGACTCTTCTAGGCCAGCCAGCATAATCTTATTGTTGGCATATTTTTGGCAGGCGGCTCAGAGGCAAATCCCCATTCCATTTCTTCTGCCCATCAGTAAAAAAAATAGGAATTACTCTATCAGAAACAAGAACTACACTTAGCCAGCACTTGGACTGAGAAAAGGCTTCCACTAAGGTGGTGTTAGTGAAATCCCACCACAGGCTATTACTACATTATTTCTAACCTTCTGAAAAGACATGCCAAGTCTTACACTTCCATGTAAGTCTGTGGCAAACATTAAAGGAGGATGCCAGAGTAAGCTAGATAATTATATACTAAAAATAAGTCACTAGGACAACAAAACATGCCTGAAAATTACTTTATTTGTTCGTCAGGTTTGTGCGTTACAGCAAGCGTAAGTTTAGCTACCATGAACCGTCTGGAAGAGCATTTAATGTTAACTTTAGAGATGTAGAGTGAGTAGAGCCCATATCTGCACACAACATGCTGGTTTTCTATGGCTGGAATCTGGCATTCATGAGTTACAGATCTTTGATATCCTTCTGGATGTTCCACAGGGTATCCGCGCTCTTCCTCAGCTGAGTCACCTCATCGTCCTTCAGCTTTTGGTTGATGACACTTGTCAATCCAGAGGCACTTAGGACAGAAGGCAGGCTCAAGAAGACGTCATTCTCAATGCCATACATGCCCTGCCACAGACAAAAGAGATCAGATATGAGCCCATCACCCCAGATGTGCATTTAGTTTATAGAACAGGAAGCCTCCTGAGAGCAGAGCTAAAAACTATCATTTTACAGCCTACAGAAGAATTTCAGTCACAGTGTATTTGAGAAAATAAACAGCATAGAGCTGTTTTGGACCAAATGTCTGGCAGTGCCAAGATGGCTGATTGCAGAAACCCCACCTTCAAAGCTCTTCAAAGCTCTCGCTTTTATTTCTATACAGCAAGTAGCTGACAAGATTCAGATGCAGGATTAGGGCAGGTCATCCTTCCTGCTACAGAGGCAGCAGTAAGCTCAACCTGCTCAGAGTCCTTGCTGCACCAGGGGTTACAGAGCTAGTCCAGACTAGATGCAGCCAGTTACACCAGCTATAAAAGGACACAGTTCTCCCCCCCAGGACTTTTGCTAGGCAGTGGTTCATGGAATTGCAGCTGGGCCTCCATGAAGTTTTCCAGTTTTACACCAAAACCTCCTTCCAAGGAATCTGCATGCCACAAATGGCAAACTTTACACAAGGCTAGTACAGAGAACTTATTTTCAGCTCCATACTTGTGAGAGGAGTTGGCTAAGAGGTCAGCCTAGAACGAATGGCAAGAGTAAGCTCCCATTTTAAATTCAAAGTAGTGTTTTACAAAGCTTCCTTCGTTCAGTCCCTTGCTAACCGAGACTACTTAGCTTGTCATAACAACAAAATGAACTATAGAGCATCCAATCAGCCACCACTTCTTACCTTTACCAGTGTTGAGATGGAATGAATCCTGTGCAAGTTCTTCAGCATGGTCTCACAGAGGTCAGCAACACTAAGGCCAATAGCCCAGTTTGTGTATCCCTTCAGTTTGATCACCTCATAGGCACTAAGGAAACATGGAAAGACAATTGCACTAAGATGTCTTCAAGACACTCTGTGACTTACAAGTCTTAAGAGGAATGAAAGTTTCCCATTTTTAAAAAAAAATTAAACTCCTGCAACACTTTCTAAGTTTTGGAATTAAAATATCAAAGTAGGAGAGTGATGTGTTTCAGCATTAGAAGATAAAGCATAAAGTATACATATTCCCATATGTATAATTAAGAATCCCTGTTGTTCTCACAGGATTAGAAAATCAGCTTCCATCTAGGAAGAGTTCTTAGTGTTAGGTAGAAAAGCACACCTACACCTAATAAATTCTCAATTTCAGTCAGTGACACAATCATTCTGAGTGCATTTGGAATAGATAAACATTTAGAGTTGAAGCCATGCACTACCTACACACACCCCCTGGTGTTTTTAGCCAACATCTGGAGATAGTGCAGGAGAGTACACTCATATCACAAGTGAGACAAGTGATTTAGCAACATGTGAACAAATCTTCCTGCATCAATGAACAAAATTTCCCCCTGTTCCAACACTGCTCACAGAATTACACTGCCCTTCCCTAGTCTTGTGCCCTTTGAACAAAGTGAACCACTCAAGAAGCTCCATGAGAGAAAACAAGTACACACAGCTCTAAGCTCTGCAGTACTTCAGTGGGCATGTTATACAACAGCTTGTCTGGCTGCAGGATAATGAAATAACCAGCTGAAATCCTGCATTTTCGTGTTTAAACCAGCAGTCCCACTTATTCATGCAGCCCTCTAAATAAAAGGGCATGAAAGCTGCAGCACAACAGAGAGACAGCATGCAGACAAGCTATTTTCAGCATCACATATATCCGTGTTATTCCTCAAGTCATTGTACCTGTCAACCACTTTCTTGTGGACCTCCTTCCAGTTCTCAGGGTCTTTGTCAGTTCCCATGGCAGGATTCAGCTGCTGGAGACAAACCCCTGCCACGTTAATTCCGCTCCAAACAGCCACTGGAACAGAGGGAGGACATAAGTTTCAAAAGCACTTTGCAACTCCCCCTCCACTTTTTCCTATCTGAAACAATTGGAACCATAAGTAGCAGCAGCCAGAAACACAATAATGTTTGAGGCAGATTTTCAGTTTTCATTTAGCTGCAGTTAATGCTGACAACTCTGGGTGTCAATTGTGAGACTATTTTAGTACTGGCACTTTAACAAGTTGATTGTAACACATGACAGCAGAACTTTGAGACCTTGGAAGGTGCAGACAGCCCTCTCTGAAGTCAGAAACCTCAAATTCTAGCAAAAAGGCACATCTTAGCTGTTCAGCCTTTTAAAACTAATTCTGCTCAAAACTGCAGCAAGGATGTATTTGCTGTTTCAAAAATCAGTGTTAGGTTCAGCCTTCAAGAAACCTGTTCTTATTTACATGAGTAAGAGGGTAGCAATATACAAACTTAAAATATCAAGAGAGGAATTTGCACCTCTCTTCATACTGGAAGCTTACAGGCAGGCTAATCCTTTGTTCCTGTGAAGTAACTAGGAATTCTGAGTTACTTCAAAGCACAAACTGATGCAGGATGAGCTCTGTGTAAGCTCAGCCAAACTCTGCTTTCACTAGGGTAGGGCTGATCAAATGCAATGGGACACTGAAGAGGTGGCTCCCCTAGAAATACACAGCACAAAAATATGAAGCAGTACCAATGTACACAGATATTCTGCTGCATCATTTCAGACTTTAAATACATGAGCTGAATTAAGACAGATAGGCTTCTTTGATTTTACATGGTTTTAAAACTGTCTTTTAAATAGCACAGAGAAAAGTTATGAAATAAGGTAAGGGATCATTTTGTTAGCCTGAGCCTGGATTGCCAGGGTTTTCTGTTACCTCTAACAAGCTCTGCTCTTGACTTAAAAGGAGCTGACACTGCTTTCAGAGGAGAACTATGCTACAGGCTGTTATGGTACTCCAAAAACTGAGGATAAAGAAAAGTACTAAGCTGTAGCCTTTAGGACACAACTTGAGCTCGCAAAATTGGCCTTTTCAGTTCAGGGTTTAATTATTAAATATGTGTAGCTATGTTTCATGGGATCACAGGATGGTTTGGGTTGGAAAGGACCTTAAAGATCATCTCACTCCAACCCCTGCCATGAGGCAGCCACAGCTTCTCTGGGCAACCTGTGCCAGGGCCTCACCACCCTCACATGGAAGAATTTCTTCCCAATATCCAATCTAACCCTACTCTCTGGTAGTTTGAAGCCATTCCCCCTTGTCCTGTCACTCCAGGCCCTTGTAAGTAGCCTCTCTCCACCCATCCTGTAGGCTCCCTTCAGGTACTGGAAGGCCACTGTTAGGTGATCCTGAAGCTTTCTCTTCTCCAGGCTGAACAATCCCAATTCTCTCATTTCCTGGACTTGTCTCAACTCAAATCTTCATAAAACCACAGCTAAGTGCCAGTAACTCGAGCGGAGCTGCATCTGTTCCTTCAGTTTTGTAACACCCTTAGACCTCAACCTCTAACACTCTATTGCTTGTTCCCAGAGAGGTCAGAATTGCTCCTTACCACTGGAATCACCGTGCTCTCCCAAGATCCAGCCATGGCAGCTGCTTGGATGAATCCCAAGCCTCTCGGACATCAGATAGCGAAATCTGGCCGTGTCGAGATTGCAGCCACTTCCAATCACACGGTTTTTTGGCAGGCCACTCAGCTTCCATGTGACATAGGTCAAGATATCCACTGCAAGGAAAAACATGCACAGTAAATTAAACCACTCACATCAAGAATGCTCCAGCAATTACTTTATTGCAAGTAGCACGGCAATCAGGAGGACTCAAAACACAGCTGTGCTCATTGGTCAATGTATTTTGGGTCTGATTATTTGGGGGATTTAAAATTAATGCACTGCTTGAGATTTTTTGAACAGTAGCTCGATGGGTCCTAAAAAAATTTGAGTAAGATCTTTGGAGATTAAATTCCTACCAGCTAAAGTTGGGACACATTTTTTGTCACAGTTAAACCCCCAGGGCATTCAGAACTGGGACTGATCTCATGTGGCTAAAACACTCAAGTAATTTCCTGAAGTAATATTACCTTCTAGTTCATCATCACAACAACAGGTAAAACAATTTACAGTGAAAAGTTTGAGATTTGCATACTCTTTGTAGTTGGTAATTACTTCAGTTCAACTTCTTGATTTGTGCACTAAGCAGTTTCTGCATTTACTACCAATATGCTTTAGCTGCATGTGTCTCCAAAAACAAAGCTTTGGAAAAAACACAAAGCTAGGTGGGGCAGACAGAAGGATGTGAGCAAAGAGAAAACCTCTAATCAACAGGTCAAAGCAACAATAATAAACAGGCTGCAGTAATTATGACTCCAACTCTCAGGAGCCAGCCAGTTCTCAGGAGGGAACACATTTGTGCATACAGATCTGAAATGCATCATTTGCTCTGCTCAGGCACAAAAAGCACATCATCAGCACAGTTCACACGTCCTTGACATGTTCATCAGGCACACCTTTCTTCCCATAGCTTCAGCTGGGGCTGTTCCTGCCAGGATCACAGTAACTTGCACAGACTACAGAGCATCTCCCTGTCCATCAGATCCAGGCTGTCTGGCTTTCCAGGTCACTAAAGTCCCTTCTAATGAGCTCACAATAACTTCCACTATATAAGACTAGTGGACAAAACTCCACACATTGAGAAAACAAAGGGTTATAAAAATAATTCTGCAAAAGCAAGATGCAATTCTCCTCCTGCAGCTGCTCTACTGGAGAGAAGTCTATAGATTGAATCCGGCCCTGCTAGAACAAGAACAAGTCGATCTTTGTCGCAGGTTGATTTTTTGATAAGTGTTTAAAACCGCCCTAAGTTATTGTACTTGCACAGTAGCCACTTGCTCAGAACACTGGTATTCAGTAGGAGTAACTGTACACCAGCTAATTACTCAACCCCCAGTTGAGCTGCCAGCTTTGCATGCACTGTTTCCACTCTGCAAAGTTCTCTCTAAAAGCAGCGTTACTTCACCGCCAGGGTTCTGTAGCACTGGCCTCACTCAGATGTTGAGTCAAGCAAAGACAATCCTACAGGAACACCCCACAAAGCACATCAGAATGTTTACAGTCAGCTTTAGACATCCAAATATCCAGTTGCTTCAATGCAATGAGGTACTTGCAAGTGAGCACACAAATACATGTAATCAGTTATAACTAAGTCTTTTCTAATCCAACTGAACTGTGTACTACAGTTAGCCCTTGTTCTACCATAGGTTTCAGCATCAAATTCTTTTTCCTGAAAATATAGAATATAGGGCAAGTTCTTCATACTGAAAAATGGCTGTATTGCATCCAGACACAAAAGTTATCCTTTAGAAATAAACGTTTTAAACTACCAACTGCTTAAGCCAAAGTATGTAAAGAACTGAAGTATTTATCATAAAGCATTCTTTTAAGATAAGGACACCATGACAAGTTCTGAATAAAGAGACCATCAGAATGTACAGGATATTTGTTTGTATTCTGCTGTTGGCCACTACCTGGCAGATGTCCACAAAAAGCTATTAACCTTCAATTTGTATTTGAAAAGACTGTCAGAGGATGAATGTTGTGTTTTATCAAACCAAAGTTTTAAGGGTTTCAGAAAAGACTGCCTTGCCTGGATTGGAAACCACGATGATGATGCAGTTGGGGCTGTGCTTCACAACCTGAGGAACGATGAATTTGAAGACATTCACATTCCTCTGGACCAGGTTGAGGCGACTCTCCCCCTCTTGCTGACGAACGCCCGCAGTCAGGATCACGATCTTGGAGTTGGCTGTCACCTTGTAATCTACACCAGAGCACGGGGGGAAGATACAGAATGTGTTAAATACACTTGTCACTCATTTCAACAGCACTGTGTTCATACAGTGTTACAGGCAGCTTCTCCACTGTGCATTCCATTCAACCCCAAAACCAAGAAAACATCAATATTAAATCCAGTACCACCTCTTTAACACTGTCCAATTTAGGTATCAACATATATGGGTCTGGAGAGCACCTTCAACCACCCAAATCTCACTTCCACTTTCCAAATCACATTATTTCTTCTACAAAGAGGTACTATAGCTTCATTAAAATCAGTTTTACTAAACAAGCTCCAAACTGTAAAGTGGCCATTGGAGATGTAAGAGAAAGCCCAGATTAAAAACAACTCCCACTGCTATGGTGTTCATCCAAACTCTCACCCCAATTCATACCCTTTTTCAATGCCAAATTCTTTGAATTCTTTAGGATTACACAACTAATTCTCCACTATCAAGCAAAGTCATAGAATGTCAGTATTAAATAAAAAACTGAGGTTCACCTTTGTCTGCCACAATCTTGTGAGTGTGAAGGAACAAGCTCCCATGCTGTAGGTCCATCATTTCTCCTTTTAGTCTGTCTTCCACAACATCAACCAGAGCAAGTTCATCACAAAGACCCTGAAAACAACAAAATGGTCAGTGAAGCAGTTCACTTGCATTTTAAAGTTAGTCCTGAGCTGAGGTGTATTTTGTTTCAAAGTAACATGCCACAGCAATCTGAAAGCATCTCTTCTCCAAAGTTAAACCTGTGGGACAGCACTATCTTGGTGTTCTGATGTATCTCACAGGAACAAAGTCAGAGGCTGCTACAGCACAGGTTCATAAAACTCATTCAGACTTTCCAAAAAAGATATTATTTGTGGGGAGTTTGAGTTCACAGCCAACCCTTTGCTAGAAAAGCACTTCATGATTTAGTAATTATATTTGGAAAAAAGTTATATCTTTCAGAGTTGTAACAAAACTTCTAAATCTATCCAGCAAATAGGCCTGTTGTAAATATTGAAATGCCTAAAAGAACACTCCACATAATTATCAAACAAGTATTCTCTTAACATGCCTTCAATCAATTAATTTCACAAAACTATACAACGGGAACAGATATTTTCCTCAGCCCTAAAAATGAAGAGAAAACAGATTCTTTAGTTGTTTTTCTCTACTAGAGCTACTATGTTATATTTACTTTGCAGAACAGATTTAGCCATGTATGCTTGTTGTCCAAGTCAGGAGATAACCTCGTACAGTCTCAGAACAGGAAAACAATGAAGTATGGGAGTGAAAAGGTGTTTTGCTCTAATGCAAAGCCTTCCTTTGGCTTTTCCTTTTGACAGAAATTTTTATTATCCTTGTAAATTCCATTATCCTTAAAGGCTGATCAGGCAGTAAATTATATTGAAATTCAAATTACTATTTCTCTGTTTTCCTAGATATCTACACTTTATTTGAGAGCAGTTAAGCCATTTTTAGCAACTAAAATACTGTTTTTCCTGTGGAAAAATATATTTAACTGCAGACATTTTTTTTCATTTCATACTCTGAAATAGTGTGTTTATTGCTTTTCTGCATTGCTTCCCTTAGCAGCTGATTTGATAAAACTGTTGAAGAAAAATCATAAGAATCTGTATCTGTACTTGCTCTGTTCCCAAAATAGCCTGCAGGGTAAAATGAATGTCTCAGTTGTTTAAACACTATGAAAAAGTATGCTTAGCTGAAGTTATTGGTGTTAAACTAAGGAGTTAGTGCAATCAGAGTTTGAAAAAATAATGTGTGCACATGTGCAATTATAGATAGATTTATACACACAGTCTGATGGGACTTGCAGTCTAGAACTTGCAACCAATATTCCTCAGACTCTGCAGGTTCCAAGAGCAGGTTCTCACTTAAAGAGAAGAGCAGCTGGAATACCTCCAATGACTAATTTCATGAATTTGCATCACTTGTCTAGAGAAGAACTTAGCTCAATATCAGCACACACAGGAATGAAGCCTACACAATCACCAAATGCAACTCAAAATAGTCTCATTTAAAGCAGCTGATTTGTGACTGTGGACATGCTCTCATTTCTAAATCAGTGTGGCAACATCAGTGACTTTCTCTAACAGAGAGGGAGCTAAAAATAACCAGCATGGAAGTTTTGGTGTCATGCAAATTTAAATACTAAATACTACGCCAGTAAACTGAAATTAGTATTAGAGCCAAACTGTGCACAAGTAAAGCCACAAATTGGTTGACAGAGGCTGAACGTGAGCCAGTGTGTGCCCAGGTGGGCAAGAAGGCCAAGGGCATCTTGGCCTGGATCAGGAATAGTGTGGCAGCAGGATCAGGGCAGGGATTGTCCCCCTGTGCTGGGCACTGGTGAGGCCACACCTCAAATCCTTGAGTCCGGTTCTGGGCCCCTCACTACAAGGACATTGAGGGGCTGGAGGGTGTCCAGAGAAGGGAACAGAGCTGGGGAAGGATCTGGAGCACAAGTCCTCTGAGGAGCAGCTGAAGGAGCTCTGGGGGCTCAGTCTGGAGAAAAGGAGGCTCAGGAGGGACCTTACCACTTCCAACAACTCCCTGACAGGAGGATGTAGCCACATGGGGGTCAGGCTCTGCTCCCAGAGAACAAGGGACAGGACAAGAGCAAACAGCCTCAAGCTGTGCCAAGGAAGGTTTAGATTGGATACGAGGAAAAAATTTCTCACTGAAAGAGTGGTCAGGCACTGGAACATGAAGGTGGTTGGGTCACACTCCTGGAAGTGTTGAAAAGAGCTGTAGATGTGGCACTAGGGGACATGGTGGACTTGGCAGTGCTGGGTTAATGGTTGGTCCTAATGATCTCAGAGGTATTTTCCAACCTAAATGACTAATTCAGTTACAAGAACCAGATAGTTTTGTTATAAAAATATTTTATACTGCAGCTTATATTTGTAAGAGAATAAGAGCAGAAGTCTGGTTGACATAAAATCCATGTCATCATCCATGCTTGAAAAATTTAAAACCTGTTTTTACTCTGGGTTTGGTGCATATAACTCATTAATAGTAAAACTTGGTGCTTAGATATCTGAAAGCAAAAATTTAATCCTGCCTAAAGCAGTGTATTAAACACAGATGAATTGTAGTGCAGTTTGTGGTAACATCACCTGGCTCCCTCACTGTACAAGGTTACAGGACTTCAAAAACAAACTAGTTCAGCCCATGAGAGGCAAACATTTGTTTAAGAAAATAGAGAAAACCACAATGAACTATCACTGTTTTCCCCTTAAAATTCTCCTTTATATAAGTTTTTTTAAAAACTATTTGCTACTTTCACATTAATACTCAAGTTCCACTGTGGCCTTTTCTTAATGTCAGTTTTTCCTCGGTCACAGAGCTCATGAATATCAGCAAGCAAAAGCCCTTAATTATTTTTTTTTTAATATTTAAAACCCCAGTATATTAAAGCAAACGTTCTCAAGGTAATATGTTGAAGGATCATCTACATAAAATACAGCTGGTTTAGTAGTACATGCAAGATTTTTCATCTGACTGTGAGCTACCTGATTTAAGGCAGCCTCTGCAAGTGGGCAGGGCATATCTGTTTATGCCTTTGTTAAAAAAAAAATCTGCAGCTCCCATCATCTTTCCAAAAACAGCACAATAGGAATCAAATTTAACTCATTCACAATATTCTCTAAAAACAAGAGATCCTTATTGCATAATGAGCCTTTGCTTTGCTCAAAGAGAGTAACATAAGATTTGAAAAAAAAAATAAAATAAAGTCCTATAAACCAGGAACAGGAAAAGTCGGAATAACCTCTAAATCCAGACCTCTATTTTTAGTTTCTGAAAAAACTAGCTAAAACCTCTCTGAAAAAAATAATCATGTAACCAAGCAAAAAAAAAACCTAAGAGAAATCAAGAAGTCTGCTTAAGGGGATAGCACTATTTTCAGCTATTATGGCACACATGCCTTAAAACAGTAAAAAGCAAACACTTATTGTTCTGATTGCTACCCCATATTTCACATCCATTTCTCCTCTGTCTGCATTCTTTTCCCACCAGAGCTCCCTCACTGAGCAAACTCCAGCTTTGTCGCGGAGGAATAAGAAAATTAAGAAGAGAATGAAAAGTTTGGCAGGTGCTTAAGAGCCATTCGCTCACTATATTTTCCCAGTAGCCTGCAAAATAACTCTGCCTAATGAGAGATTTATTGCCAAGCACGGATGGAAAGGTGAGAGAACAAGGAGAAGCTGAATGGGGAAGTCAACCTTGTAGGTCACTGACTGCTTACCCGAACTGCACATGATTCATTCCTGCACTAACCTACCGAATTCCCCCCCATTGGCTAAGGCAAACAGGCAGCACAGAACACTGCGGCAGGGGGAGCTTGAGCGGCACGCCGTCCTTGAGCCGTACCTTTCCAAGGATGCTGATGGCAGCGGCCATCCCGACCTGTCCAGTGCCCACAATTGAGACCTTGTTGTTGGGGGCCGTGGCTCCCGAGGCAATGGGGGTCATCAGCTTGTCCATGAGTGTGGCCATGGTGTTCTGAAAGGATAACGGGAACAGCTGGTTCAAAGCAAGCCAGAGGGTGCTGAAAGCCATGTTCCGAACCGCGGGCGTCACCTAAACCCGCCGACCGAGGTGCTGCGAGCGGCTGCTGACGGCGCTTTTCACACAAGGTGGCCCTCGGGCACGATGCCCTCGGCTCGCAGGGCTCCTTCCAAGCCACACACCCACCCGCACATCCCTCCCGGGCCCCGGAGCTCCGGATCCCGTCCGTGCCCGGTGCCCAGCGAGGGGCTGGAGGGCGCACAACCGACCGGCCCCGCGGGGCCCCGAGAGCGCCCGCGGGGGCTCCAATTCCAGCGCCGTTACCGGCGGCAACGGCCCCGCAAACCCGCACCGGGGCCGGCCCCGGCACCGCGGAGCAGCCGGGGAGCTGCGATCCTGCTGGGATCGCCCCGACCCGTTTCCGTGCGCCCCTGAGGCTCCCCGGGCTCAAACCACGAGCTTCCGACCTTCCCGGGCCGCAGGGCAGCGAGGGGCCGGGGCGGCACACGGGGGGGCTCTGAGCAGGGAGACACAGCCCGACCCCGGCCATCCCCAACCCTCCGAACCCCTGCGATCCAAAGCCTGACCCCGGCCATCCTACTCCCAGAACCCCCCAGAGCCACAGCCCGACCCCGGCCATCCCCAAACCCGCGAACCCAAGGCGTCCGCAGCCTGACCGTGACCATCCCAACCCCAAACCCCCGGCATACACAGCCCGACTCCGGCCACCCCCAAACCCCTGGGATCCACGGGCTGACCCCGGCCACCCCTAAATCTCCGAAAGCCACAGCCCGACCCCCGCCATCCCCAACCCCCCGGGATCCACCGCCCGGCTCCGGCCACCCCCGTTCCCCCTTGCCCGGCCGCCACGCACGGAGAGTCGACAGGGGCACGGGCTCCCGCTCCTGCTCCCGGCGGAACTGAACCGCCGCGGGAGGAGGGAGGGAGGGCAGGGAGGGCAGGCTGGGCGACACTCCAGCGCCCCCATGGTGTTGCGGGGGCCCCCCGTTACCCACCGGTCGGCCGGGGCGCGGGAGCGGCGCGGGCTGCGGGACCGTGCGGGGCTCGGGCAGGGAGCGCTCTGCGGCGGAAGGGGCGGGCGCGGCGGCGCCGGGGGGAGGCGGGGGCCACCGGGCTCGGTGTCCGCCGAGGACGGGGCCACAGGGGTGTCTCCGCTCCGCCCCGGCAGCCGTGCAGGGCGGGCAGTGCCGGTCGTCCCCGCGCTGCCGGTGAAGGAGCGGCCGCGCTGCCCCGGGCGGGTCCCGCGGGGACTCGTGGGCTCGCCGGTGCCACCAGCGCTCGCCCCGCAACGGGCGGGGAGGGGTCGTTACCTGCCCGTCACGGGTCCGGCCGCGAGGAACGTGCGAGCGAGGGCGAAACTGAGCAAAAATAAAGCGTTTTTTACCTGCTCTTCTCCAGGGGCACAGTTGCTCAAGAGGGTGGTCTCTTGTGCCCTGTCTGATTTCTGCCCTCTCCGATTCTGTGCCCTTAGCCTGGCTCCCCCGTTGAGCTTTCGGTGGTTGAACGAATCCCGCCTGAAGCCACGCGGCGATGCCTTGGCACGAATAAGGGATGTAACCTGAGGCAAGGACAACAAGGAATGTAACCTGATGATGCAAAGCTGCCGCCGCCGCTCCTCCTTCTCCACTTCACTTGGCTTCTACTGCATCCACGTCGCACTCCTCCCATATTTCACCCTATCCCGGTAGGGCTTCCCTTTGAAATGGTAATATATGGGACCTGCGGAATGAGCCCCTGGAGCGTGACTGGACTTTTGTGCCTCGACAAATAATGAGCACATCATGTGGCACTGTGAGCGACAATTATCAGACGATATGACACCCTTTGGAGGTTGGACCGGATGATCTCCAGAGGTCCCTTCCAACCCTAGCAATTCTGTGATTCTTTTCCTCCGACCCGTGGAACACACGGTCTGAAATTTTGGGTATATGGTGTGCCACTGCTGCTGAGCAGAGATGGAAGTGATTTCTTGAAATCCCTGCAGGACCAACACAAGCAAAGTAGGGAAGAATAGCGAGAATGTTTTCTTCTAATGCTGTAATATTACTTCTTTCTAACTGTAAAGGAGGAAAGTAAAGGCAAACCACTGAATGATATGCATTTAGTTTCACTGGGGAAAAACCAGAAAGCTTTAGGTTCCTCAGCACACATGATCAACTCTGTCTCACAAGAGGGAAAACAGAACAGTAGATTCCAGAGTCCTCCCAAATAAGTTACTGGGTTAAATGGGACAAGGCAGAGAGCCTGGCCTTGCCTGCCTACGGCCTTTCTTTTTCTGTTGCTGCGTCTAGTTCAAAGTCTTATCGATTGTATTTTGCTAGATATTTTGCTATGTTAGTAATATTAATTCCCTCTGGCCCACCAGGCAGCCAGACAAACACTGGTGCCAGGATGAGGGAGGTGGTGAGCATGGTGGTGAGTAAAGGAGGAAACTGCCTTTCTGGGCAGCAGCACAGATCCATGCTGGCTTTAAATTACTATCTAACCATGACCTACTTTGCTTCTTTACATTGTTTGACATTGCAAAGGGTCCCCTGGAGGGAAAGAAATGAGTTAAGCCATCCACATGACACTTCAGGTAGCAGCTTGCTGTAAGAAAATCAATTCAACACTTTGAGTTACAGCTGAAATGGGAGCTGGAAGTAAATAATAATTACACAGCAAAATGTAAGGGTAGAGAAAATCTGTCCTGTATAATCACAATGGGAGCATGGACAGATGAACTTTGAGAAAATAAGGAGGAAGAGAAATGAAAAGGTTCTGGAGAGATTAGAGAAGGATCAGAGCAGGGATTTTTCATCCTTGAGCCAGAAGCAAAGGTTCTCGTCTTGCAAAATTCCTCACTGCATTGTATCTTCTTTGGACATGAAGACCATCTCTTCTTATGAGCATTCAACAAACAATTATCACAGTAGCATTTGTAATTAAATAGGGAGGAAAATGCCACGTTCCTATTTGCAAAATCTTATAGCTTTTAAAGGCAGACTGGACCATTTGCCACATGTTACAACAACTCTCCTAGGCCCTCACTTAGATCAGACTTCATTTTACATGAAGTGTTAAAAGCACTGGGTATTTAATCTCCCCTCAGTAAGGTCCTTTTAATCTAAATAGACAAGATAGGAGCAGGACGGTGGGTGGAAGAAAGATCATTCCCTCTTCCTGCTCTTAATTATTTAGTTACTTATTGTTCCAGATGATGGAGGATTGAGGCACAGAGAGGTGAAAAGGTCTCCCCAGGGTCACACAGAAAGTCTCCTGGCATCAGGTCACAGTTTCAAAGTTCAGCTGTAGTTTGGCAGCGTTGGCATTTTTTGATGAAGTGCAGTTTTCCAGAAAAACAAACCCTAATGTTAAGGGGCACAGTCTAAATAAATTTGCCTGGTAACCTTCATACAATTACGACATATCTTTTGTGCATACATTTTAGTCCTGTTCAACTTTTGGTTTGTATACAAAGTGTGTAGTTACATAAATCTGAGATACTTCAGTACTTGCCTCTGTCCCATCATCTTCCCGAAACACTTGAAAGCAGATAGGATTTCCCTGCTGTTTCTTTTTTACAAAACTGTAGTTAAATCTGATTAAAAACAGAGATCTCACTTGAAAAACTCCATTGATGGGATTGTTTCCCAAAGCAAAACGTTGATGGTCTGATGGCCATGGTCTGATGGTATCTGTACTCCTGGGATAGCAAATAACAAGAAGAATATAAACTAGGAATGGGAAGGAACCCATTACACCACAATAACATAAGATGTAGCCTGGTGGCAGGAGAAAACAAGGTAAAGATGATCTCTCACTGTGTTAGACATGGTAGATCAGGTCATTTGCCTTCAGGATGGATATGCCCAAAGCATTATTTCATATGGCTGTAATGTTGGGAAAAGAATTAGTTGTCCAGCTTTGTAAAATACAGAGAACTGAATTAATCTGCTGGAAATCATTGGGTGCTGTCATACACAGTGCTGGCAGATGCTGAATTAAAATTCTGGTCCACCTATATTTTAATTCTCTTCTTATTCATCTGGATTTGCCATCTGAAGGCAAATATGTTGCCATTCGAAGGAAAATACATCACACAATAAATAAAAATTATCTTGGAGTGGCAGCTTTGCTTCTTTTACCCTGGTTTTGTTTGAAGGAACAGTTCCTTATTTTTGGTAGCCAGCCTACTTTCTGTTTAATTTTTGTTTAAAGATTAGACAGTGTCATATAGATAACACACTCATAGTAGTTAAGTGCTTTATAGCACAGTTAATAAAAAAAACAAACACATCACGAGTTTGAGGATTATGATGCAAAAGGAGTGAAATGTGATGATCCCATTTAATGAACATCTTTGGTGCCAGAGGAAACAAATGATTATCAATTTTACAGTTAGGTAAGAATGTAAGAACTGAACTACATTGATAGCTCTGGCTCATTAAAAGGTTCAGGAGAAACAGCAGCTACTAAATAAAGTGATAAGACAGAAAAGGGGCAAACTACTTACATGATACACACATCTGGCTCTGGCAAAGGACCTGGCTTGGGAAGGACTTCTCTCCCTCCTGTGCCCTCAGTGACTCTTCATATCCTTGCACCCTGGTTCCCTCTTCTCCTCACTGTGCCAGTGTAACAGCTGGGAAGGTCCCAGAGGATCTCAGTCATCACCTTGCTGAAAAATATCTTAAAGGAAAAGAAAAAAGAAATTAATATCCTAAACCATTTTTGTCAGAGGTTCTTTCTAATTCATCTTTAAGTTATCAAAGAAATATTTTGAAGCATTTCCTACTCCATAAGAATCCAGTTTATGCACCGTCCATGGATAAATAGAAATTGATCTTCCACAAGGAACATTCGGCCAATGCCTTCCAAAAGGAAGCAAAAATATGTAAAATTGAAATGACATACAGACAGTGATTTTTATCAGTAGATGAATTTCCATATAGTAAGGAGGATTTCTTCTCTCTGAACTGGTTAACTGTTCAGAAAACTTAGTAGTCCTGAGACTTTTATGTATGGATTTTCTTCATTGTATGTCTGAAGAATGGCTTTGTCAGCCTAACACCTCTCCAGACACAAATGTAAGGCCATGTTCAAGCTGAAGAGGTTTTTTACATTAGTGGAATCACCCCCTGTATTCACATAGTGTAGCATGTCTGCCTCAAGAGTGGTGTGTAGCACCTCAATTAATCTTTGTACAAAAATTTCTATAGTAGTGCTGTAGCACTCCTGTAGTAGTAGTTAGGTAATAGGTAATAATTAACTCCTATGTAATACAACATCTTGTATTATAGTAGGTTTTTCAGTAGTGCTTCATGGAGGAACACATATAATCCCTTTAATGACTTCTGAAGTAGTTCCACAACTGCAGGACTCGTTACCTCTCTAGAATTTGATTCCCGGTTTCCTTTTATGTGTGTTGTACTTGGAGAAGGTACTATGCTATTTGAATCTCCATGTCTGGGTACTGTTTACACTGATTTTGCTAAGGAGCAGATTCTTCTACTCACTTCCTTCCACCTAGACATTCCCTTGCATGATCCCACAATTTACCTTGTTAAAAATTATCGTAATTCTGAAGACAGACCAAATGCATTTTTACATGTATTACATAAACCTCTGCCTGTGCTCCCTGGTAGAGTCACAGGCTTCCAGCACTGCCTTTGAAGCAGACTGCTGATGTTAAGGGTCAAGGCTGACTGACTGCCCTCCTGTTTGGGAAGCATCCATTGATACCTGAGCTAACCTTTGCCGTATTGCACTCTGGACCCTTCCCACTCTGCCTTTCACGGGGCAAGCTTTATGGAAAACACTTGGACACAGCCGAGCTTCCAGCAAGCATTATTTAACATGTTTCTCAGTACTGAGGGATGTTTGGCCCCATTGCTACAGCCAAGTCCCATGTGAAGGCTAGGAAGGACACTCTTTGTGCTGAACCCACTGGGTACTTGTAGATGAGAGAGATCCATGGACACATTTTGAGCCTTCTCCATCAGACTATAAAACATATCCCAGTTATTCAAGCAGTCAAGCTTCCACTTTGGTTTGTAATGCTGTAGGCAAAGCAAAGTGAGCCATGAACTTTACATGATGACTGTAACAAATATCTTTGATCTGGATCTAACAGGTGCCCACTTATAATTTCTCTTTTTCCTTTTGATTTTTGTTACGAGCTGTTGTTTTCTTTAGCACACACCATGACTATATACTGAAAAAAGAGCTGGTGAAATGCTTCCTGGCTGAAATTCAGTAGTGTGACTTGGAGGATTACAATGCAAACTCATTGCTCCAAAGCTGGGTCAAACCAGATCAGAAGATGTTGTTTTATGTCTGGCTCCATCTAAGTACCATCATTTTAGTTATTGATGCCCCTCTCTTCTAAGCAAAGAAATTAAGACATGGAAACTGTTCCTCATGAACTGTTCCTCAGTTTTACAAGTCAGCCTTGAGCCAGTCTCTTCCTGAGCCAGTTCAGCTCATTAAAGCAGTGGAAGACTATCACTTTTATTTCATTGAAGTAGATTGCTGTCCATCAGCCAACCAGCTGGGTTCAGTGAAGTGCCCAGCAA